AATGTATGCTGAGCGTGTCCATGTTTGTTCTGGCTCCAGTGCTGTCAGTGTCCAGCCACTCTTTGTGCCCATGGTGCACTGGCAGAGGCAGAAATGGCCCTGCCTTTGGTTATTGACAATCCTGAGTCTGAGTGGTGTGAAGTCAATAAATTGCTTCACAGAACCAAATTGGCTGTTGCCATGTGCCTCTTCTGAGCAATCCCTGAACTGCAGCAGACTAGCACAGAATTACCTCCACACTGTGCTGTCAGTGTCTTGATCAGATACTTGTGTGGTAGAGCTCAGGTTTTCACAGTAACTAAACAGCAAAATGACAGGAGGTTCTAATTTCCTGCAGAATTGAATGATACAATGTCATACCTCATCAGTAACCCTGAGGATGATTTCAGGCTAGGTTTGTCCTTTTGTTCAAAACTTCCTAGAACAGCAAAAATTAGAACCAAGCTCATATTATTGTTCGAGATCTTTGCAAATAGTAAACCAAACACGACAGTTCAGGCTGAGTTTCCGAAGCTTGTTGTGTTCTGCCTTGGGGCAGTTTCTCTGCCCAAGTGCCTGGAACTGCTTCAGGAGCTGAGAGCTAAAATACTGATTTAATCCCTGCTCATGTAAGATTACAGTTAGTGGAAATATGAACTGTGTAAACTTGTTGAGTGATGGAAACCCTTTGGACACACTGGGGAGCAGTTGCTGCAGGTTCCCATGTTCTGGTTGTGTGTGTTTCTGCCTGTGTGCTGTGCAGCTAAACCAAAACACCTGGAGTGAGCCCTTGGCATGTACCTTGGCACACCTTGTGGCACGGCCGGGGGACAGAGGCCACTGGCAGATGAAGCAGGTTGTGTTTTTATGAAGCCATGCCCCATGTGCCTCGTGGGAACCAAAAGGTTCATTTCCCAGAGGTTGTCCAGGTGAACATACACTCAGCCAGGCTGGGACCCTGGCACAGGGTAACGGGAATATTTTTGCCTTTGGAGAGAGTTCCCTTCCCTCTCGTGTTCAAGATGAGTTGGAAACATTTATTTTCATTTCTGTCTCAGACCAGAGAATTTGCCTGTAATTCTTTTTGGTCCTTTTTTGCACTTTTCTTTTGCCACAGTTTGTCTTATGCAAAGACTTTCCTTGGGTGCGTGTGCAGCTGAGTAAAACAGTTAAGGAAGCTTTAGAGACCCAAGGAAGTGACTGCCTTTGGCAGAGGGAGGTTGAAGTGGAAGGCTATGCAACTGTTCTTGAATTCCATAGACTTTTAAACTTTTCCTTGAATTATGGGTTATAAAAGCAATGCATTTCATAAGGTGTTTGGTTACAGCTGTTATGTTCCACTACCCTCCTGACAAGGTCTGTGATTCCTTTCCTTCCATCAGAGTCTCACATTTAAGGAGAAAATGACAAGCCTTAAGTTTAAAGAAAAACCTACTGATCTGGAGACCAGAAGCTACAAGTTCTTGCTGCTGTCCTTGGTAAAACTGATCCATGCAGACCCAAAGCTTTTGCTGTGTGTAAGTGTATCCTACTCTCATAATTGTTCGCTCCTAGTAGAATTTACTTTTGAAGCTGCCAAATGAACAGAAGTTAAAAACACACACCTGCCACCCAGGGCACTTCTGCTCGTCCTTGGCTTATGAGGCTCCTGTGCCTCCACAGGGAAAAGACAGACCCAAAAGAAACTGTAAAAGATTTTACAGAACCAGAGCAACACTATAGGAGGGACACAAAGCTCAGTGACTGTAGGGGAAGGAGAGGGGAACAGAAGAAAATTAAAATGAGGGGGTTGGACGTCAGTCAGCATTTCAGTGAGCAGGAAGACACATGGTTTGAGATCTCCCATTTTCTCAGGTCTGTTGTTGCTGGATTTAGAAACACTTTGGTGCTGATATCCAGAGGGTGTCGGGTGAAGACAAAGTGTCGGGTGCCAGAGGCCCCTGGCCCGCTCAGCTCTGTGCCAGGGGTGCTGCTGTGGCAGTCAGTCCCCGTCGGGCCCGGGGGTCTCACAGCTTGTCTTGCCTCCTGTTGCTGGCAGAACCCGCGGAAGCAGGGCCCCGAGTCGCAGGGCAGCACGGCCGAGCTGATCATGGGGCTGGTGCAGCTGGTGCCGCAGTCCGGCATGCCCGACATCGCCCAGGAGGCCATGGAGGTAAGGGGGCTCGGGCTCCTGTCTCACTGCAGCTCGTGTCTTCTGAAGCTGTGTGTGCAGCATGGCTTTGTACAGGGGAGACCTCGAGCTGTGAGTGGGGAACAAAGCCTCAGACTCCTTCTGGCACAGACTAACAACGAGCTCTGGTTCTTCCACATAAAGTGCTTTTTATGTCTTCTCTTGTTTTCAAAACTGTCATGAGTGTGTGGTTGCACCTATTGCTCTGCCTGTGCTCATATGCTCTGAGCATTTCTCTCTGTAAGTGGAACTCTTTGATTTGACTTCAGGCCTTGCTGGTTCTGCACCAGTTGGACAGCATTGACTTGTGGAATCCTGATGCTCCCATAGAAACGTTCTGGGAAATCAGGTATGGAAATTGCCTTCTATAAATGAGAGGAATAGCTGGTTTGATTTGTCTTCTCTCTTGAAATAGCTGTGAGTATTTTGGGAAGGCTTTGCAACAAGGTTGGGAATCTGCAGTCAGGATCGTTACATTATTCCTGGAGAGGTTATACCTTCC